ATGTGGGGTTGGTGAAGATCTTTTCCCATTCTGTAGGCTGTCGCTTTGCTTTGTTGACCGTATCCTTTGCTCTACAAAAGCTTCTCAGTTTCAAGAGGTCCCATTGGTTGATTATTTCTCTCAGTGTCTGCGCTACTGGTATTATATTTAGGAAGTGATCTCCGATGCCAATGTGTTCAAGACTCCTTCCTACTTTTTCTTCTAACAGGTTCAGAGTAGCTGGATTTATGTTGAGGTCCTTGATCCACTTGGACTTCAGTTTTGTGCACAGTGACAGATATGGATCTATTTGCAGCCTTCTACACGTTGATATCCAGTTATGCCAGCAGCATTTGTTGAAGTTGCTTTCTTTTTTCGTGGCACAGGCAAAACACTACAAGTGACTCTTTAAAGATTTGCTTACTATTTTTGTGCTTCATTTTAACTCTAAGGAAATTCTACTCTTACTCAAAATTTTTTTGTGACACTGTATTCCTATATTCTATCTTCCTTAATTTTCATAGATAGAAGTTAAGAGAGAGAGAGAAAAAAAACCTAGAGAGAGAGAAATATATGCTGCAGCCTCACTAGGGCATCTTCCAGCCCCTTTCACTCCCCCAAATAGATTACCTCCACCTTAATTTCCATAATCAGACATGCCCTAACTTCCCTTAGTGCCCTCTGATGCCCCTTTTGAAAGTCCTTGGTCCCTGTTTGGGCACCATTTGAGGGAGACCAGCTCCCATTTTTTCCCCCAGGATACTCTTGGAAAGTGAGAAGTGAGAAATATTTAGATAGAAATATAGAGGGAGAGAGACAGAGAAATACAGGATAGCCTCTGGAGGGCCTCGATCAAAACCCACTGGCCCCTACTTTTTCTTCTAAGGGACTTTTAAGCAAATGTCAAATGGTGGAGCAAATGACTTCCCCCACAGCATAGCCAAATGCAGACCATTCCAAACACCTGGTAACAACACAGGTGGTCAAACCATCCCCTAATGCAGCCCTGCTGGGTAAAGCAAGCTCAGATCTCACTAGGAAACCTTTGTGGGCTCCCACAAATTACTGTGACCGAGCTTCAGTTCCCTAGTGCCTAATACCAAGCCTACAAAGATTTTCATGTGGAGAAGTAAGATGGCATTTAGAGACTTTTTCCTTAAAAATACTCAAAAAGCAGTGAATAGATACTACATATTTTAAAATACTGTTGAGTTCTTGTAGAGAGCAGAATTGAAGACAACAGTCTCTGGGCACAAACCAGACAATTCCCTTAGCATTGAAACTCTAAGGCCAAGGTCTTAAGTTTAAGGAGTGATTAGGATGCGACACAGTTCTTGCAGAAGTTCCCCTAGAGCTACACACAAGTACAGAATCTGGACCAGGACATACCTCAACAATCCCATTGCCACCGGTCAATTCCTTCAAGAGCCAATCAGCACCCAGCCTACATCTCAAAGGCATAATCTCTTTGGGGGATGGCATAGGTTGTATTTACGTGTCCAGGAATGTGTGTGTGTGTGTGTGTGTGTGTGTGTGGGTGTGTGTGTATTTACATATCTCTCTCTCTCTCTCTCTCTCTCTCTCTGGTTTAATTGTGGAGATATATATGATTAAACAAAAAGAGACCTTTTTTTGTAGAGAGTTGGGAGGGAGGTTAATTGGAAAAGCCTAGAAAGAGGAAAAGAAATGGGAAAAGAATAAAATTATATTTACTTTCAAGATTTTAAAAAAGGCATGATGGGCCAAGCTGTGGTGACCCACGTCTTTAATCCCAGCACTCAGGAGGCAGAGGCAGGTAGATCTCTGAGTCTGATGTCTGCCTGGTCTACAGATTGAGTTCCAGGACAGCCAGGGCTACAGAGAAAATCCGTGTCAAAAAACAAGCAAACAACCACAACAAAAGTGTGATCTTTGTTTCCAGAGATCCATGTCCTGGAAGCAACTGAGTCTAGTCCTTACTGCCTTTAAAGCTAGAGGTGGCCTGAGGAATTTGGAGTTCTGTAGAAATACTCACCAACACTGTAACTTCCGGTGGCCAGGATGATAAATAGCAGGAAGCTGAGTTGGGTCATGGTCATCTACAGAAAAGCAAGATGAAGGTCAGTCTCTATCCAGACCACCTTTCCCCTTATCCCTGTCTCTACTCCTATCTAGTCCAATTAAAGGCTCCTTCCTTTCCTTTAAACTCCTCACTTCTCTGGGCTTAAAGCAGTCCTGAGCCAGAGTCCACTTTCCTAATTCCATCCACAGCAACTACCTTCCCTCCCATACCTGGCCAGAAATGAAGAGTTGTCAGCTGAGGGGAGATGAGCCCCCCTCTCTCTCTGCAGAGTTTCTAGTGTGGTCCTGGTGAAGCTCTTATCTTTTTATGGGAAGAGCCTGGTGGGAATAGCCCAGACTTTGCCAGGCTCCCCCTTTTCTGGCAGGATGCCACAAGAGAGGCAACTTTTATTTATTGCGGGAAAGTTCTTTTTACAGTGTTGACTCATGGGATTCAAAGGCTCAAAAAGATAAATATTAAATATCATATCTTAGCACTATCACCAGGTTTGGGAATTTCATCCATCTGTGTATTTAAAAAAAAATAAATGAGGTGACTTGCAACCTTTGACATCCATTTGGATTTTTTCATTTGTGTCTTTCTTGCAAGGTAATACTTAAAAAATCCCAAATATTCATAGTTATTCTCATTTCATAGGAGAAGAAAACATTTTTTGTAATGTATAAAACAGTACATTTCTTGTAGCTCAGGCTCTCCTCACACTGTTTTTGTGAAGATGTCCTTGAACTCCTGACTCTCTTCATCCTACTTCCACATGCTTGGATTATAGGCACATACTACTAAACTTGACTATAAAAAAGGGAAGTTTAACAACAAAATAGTAAGTAATTATTTAAGAATAAATACAAATCTTTTTGTCAGTCTGAAAAATAATCTTTTATAAGTTCATTTTCAACCTTCATTAATTTTAAATATGAGATTTGTTATACAAATCCATGTATTAATTTGTTACAGATTAATTATTAACATAAAAATTTCTAAGAAAAATAATGTGAGTGTATGCACTGGATAAAAGTAACTATTAATTGGTATTAGATACCTTATTCTTGCTTTTAAAAGACTGATTTTAAACTTAGCCATTAAAATAGAATTAAATCACGAGGGTCATGCATTGACAGTTACTGCACCAGCTGCTCAAATATTATTAAGAATTTCTATTTAAAGAAAACTTCAGTTGAGTCAGTTTTACCCTTAGCCACAAAAACATGGTTAAAGAATGAAAATGCTCTTTACAGTTGACGATTTTACAAATCTTTAGCCTGCATAGATTGAATTCCATATAACCCTCACTATTTTGTCTTTGATTTTTTCATACTTACCACAAACTAGTGAAATTTTAAGAAGGACTGCATCTGGGATTCGATCTCTATAAATCACCCCACCCCCATGATGTTTTGAGTTTCCTCTCTCCCTACCTACTGTCTTTTTCTAGTTCTCAGACACCAGTTTGGGCTATAATGGAATGAATTGCCTTTTTGTCAGTGATGAAACATCCTCAGTATAAAGCTTTATTATAATACTGATAACATTGTAATCCTTTGGGAGTCAGCTTTTGGTCAACCTTATATTTTATATCTGTGTATGTTAAAGGACTGATTTATACAACATAACTCAGGTAGGTTGATAGAATAGAACAAAACAGAGGTATGTAACTCAGCTGGTAGAATGTTTGCCTCGGATACATGAGCTATGGGTTCAATCCCTGGCATCATGTAAACTAGGTTTGGTGGGGCATGTCCGAAATTCCTGCACTTGAGAAGTGGAAATAGGAGGATCAGAAGTTCAAGCTTATCCCTTACTACATAGCCAGGTTGGAGGACAGTGTCTTATACACAGGTCTCAAAAAAAAAAAAAAAAAAAAAAAAAAGCAAAACTGCTCACACACAAAGATAATCTACACATCTTTAAGTGGATAAGTTCAAGGCCATCTTTGTCTATATAGTGAGTTGAAAGCCACCATGTCTGTACTATTTTTTTTTGTTGGTTCCTAGATTGATGCTGTAAGGACCAGTCTTCAGTAGGCCAGGAATTGAAGGGGAGTCATGGAGTCTCCAGCTAATCACTCAATTGATCTTTCTTTCTTTTGTTTGTTTGTTGTTGTTTTTTTAAAGATTTATTTATTTATTATGTGTACAATGTTCTGCCTGCATATACCCCTTTAGGCCAGAAGAGGGCCCCAGATCTCATTACAGATGGGTGTGAGCCACCATGTAGTTGCTGGAAATTGAACTCAGGACCTCTGAGTCATCTCTCCAGCCCTCAATTAACCTTTCTATCTGAGGAAGTAAAACGTAATTCTGGGGCTGTTGAAAAAGGGAAACACACACAAACACACACACACACACACACACACACACACACACACACACACACACACACACACACACACACACACACCTTTTCAGGGTCTTTCTATCATCTTTCTATATTATTTTTCTTTATTTTTTAAAACACCCTTTTTAGTATTTCCCACACAAAATACATTGCAAAGAAGGTTTTCCTCACAACCAAAAGTCATGCAGTTACTATAAAATCATCATAAAAACATGTTTTTCTGGAACAAGTGAACTCAAATACATTTCTTTTTTTTAATTTAAATTTTTTTATTCATTTTACATACCAACCACAAATCCCCATCTCCCTCTCATCCCTCCTCCTGTGCCACCCCCAGCTTCCCTTCCCTGACCTATCCTGCATCCCCTCCTCAAAAGGGTAAGGCCTCCCATGCGGAGTCAGCAAAGCCTTGCACATTAAGTTGAGGCAGAACCAAACCCCTCTTTTCTGCATCAAGGCTGAGCAAGGAGTCCCACCATAGGTAATGGGCTCCAGAAAGCCAGCTCATGCACCAGGGATCGACCCTGATCCCACTGCCTGGTACCCCACAAACAGACCAAGCTACACAACTGTCTCCCATATGCAGAGGGCCTAGACCAGTCCTATGCAGGTTCCACATAGTTGTTGACCTAAAGTTCATGAGTTCAGATGAGCTTGGTTCAGTTGTCTCTGGAGATTTCCCCATCATGATCTTGACCCCCTCTTGCTTATATAATCCCTCTTCCCTCTCTTTGACTGGACTTCTGGAGATTGGCCTGGTGTTTGGTTGTGGGTCTCTGCATTTGCTTCTATCAGTTGCTGGATGAAGGCTCTATGATGACAATTAGGGTAGTCACCAATCTGATTACAGGGGAAGGACAGTTCAGCCACTCTGTCCGCTATTGCTAGTAGTCTAAGCTAGGGTCATCCTTGTGGATTTCTGGGAATTCCCCTTATATCCCTTACTCCATAAAGTCTCCCTCTATCAAGATATTTCTTTCATTGCTCTCCCACTCTGTTCCTCCCCCACCTCGACCATCTTATTCCCTCATGTTCTTATCCCCCATTCCTTCCCCTCTATTGAGCCCCCATCTCCAGGTTGCTCATGGAGATCTTATCTGTTTCTCCTTTCCAAGGCAATCCATGCATCCCTCTTAGGGTCCTCCTTGTTTCCTAGTTTCTCTGGAGCTGTGAGTTGTAGGTCTGATTATCTTTTGCTCTACATCTAGTATCCACTAAGAGTGAGTACATACCATGTTTGTCTTTCTGAGTCTGGGTTACCTTACTCAGGATGATATTTTCTAGTTCCATCCATTTGCCTGCAAATTTCATGATGTCACCTTTTTTTCCCAGCTGAGTAATACCCCATCATATATATGTACCACATTTTCTTTGTCCATTCTTCAGTTGAGGGGCATCTAGGTTATTTCCAGGTTCTGGCTATTACGAGTAATGCTGCTATGAATATAGTTGATCAAGTGTCTTTGTGGTATGATTGAGCACCCCTTGGGTATATGCCCAAGAGTGGTATCACTAGGGCTTGAGGTAGATTGATTCCCAATTTTCTGAGATGTCACTATACTGACTTCCAGACAGAAGCTTCTCAGCTTTAGGAGGTCCCATTTATTAATTGTTGCTCTCAGTCTGTGCTACTGGTTTGGTATTTAGGAAGTTGTCTCCTATGACAATGCATTCTAGGCTACTTCCTACTTTCTCTTCTATCAGGTTCAGTGTAGCTGGATTTATGTTGGTGTCTTTGATCCACTCGGACTTGAATTTTGTGCATGGGGATAGATATGGATCTATTTGCAATCTTCTACATGTTGACATCCAATTATGCCAGCACCATTTGTTGAAGATGCTTTCTTTTTTTACATTGTACAGTTTTGGCTTTTTTGTCAAAAATCAGGTATTCATAGGTGTGTGGATTAATGTCATGGTCTTTGATTCAATTCCATTGGTCTACATGTCTGTTTTTATGCCAATACCAAGCTGCTTTTCTTACTATAGCTCTATAGTAGAGCTTGAGGTCAGGGATAGTGATACCTCCAGAAGTTGCTCTATTGTACAGCAGACATGTCTCAATGTCTAGAAAGTCAAAATTTTTAAAACATTTTAAATGCCATATTCTGTAAGTCCTTGAAGTGTTTGAAGATTACCTACCTAATTGAAATATATCTATGTATACCTAGAAAACTTAACTAACATGACTGTAAGTTTATCATAGATGACTAACTATTAATCTGTATTTCTTAAGTATACATTACAATTTTAATTGAGTTGCATAAACATAATACCTTAAACATAAGTAGAAATATACATATATTATAACAAAATTAACTTTAAATTTGTATCAATAAACCAAAATCCATAGCAATGTAAGACATTTTAAGCAAGTTGTTGCTCTTTAATGTAGATTCAATAATATACCCTTTTATCCTATCATACCTATATCATACATTTCTATATCACTTGTGGAAAAATTTTCTATTGATACATCTTTTTTGTTTGTTTGTTTTTGAGACAGGCTTTCTTGTTTAGTTTTGGTACCTGTCCTGGATCTCACTCTGTAGACCAGGCTGGACTTGAACTCACAGAGATCCACCTGCCTCTGCCTCTCAAGTGCTGGGATTAAAGGTGTGCACCACTACCACCCAGCCCCATTGATATCTCTTAACAGGCTGAGAATTATCATCAGTAGGCACTGTGAAGGCAATTTTTTCTCTATCCTGTTCTTGCAAATGTATAGTAAAAAGGCGATCTTTTAACTCAATCACTATAATAGATTTGTAGGTAATAGAGAAGGCAAGGGAATTCCAGGTTATCAAGAGACCATTGGCTGAATCACCTATTAATAGCTCTTATATATGTTAACATTCTCTATTTTCCAGATTTCTTTTTAATAACACATAAAGAAGAATTCCATGGACTGGTCAATTCTTCAATATGTTGAGCATTTAGCTGCTCCTGTATCAACTGTTCTAGACCTGACATTATTCTGATGTCAAAGGCCATTGTTCCACCCAGACAGATTTGGCAGTTAAAAATTTTAAAGGCAGGGCTGTTGGTACCTTTGAAAGATCAACAGTTGTTGTGCCTGTTTATGTACAACCTGAATGGCCTGTGACTGTTCTTTGTAATACTTATTAATAATCTTCTCAGGAACATGTGTTAGTTAGTCTGCTGCTATTTCAGCCAGTAATTGTGACTCTGAAGTTACTGGCCTGCTTCTCTGGCAGTGACCTGGAGGGCCTTCTTTACTACAGGTACTGGCTCTGCCAATTCCACTAAAGGCAACTTTTACTAAATCTCTATCATTCTGTTTATAAATAAAATTTGAGACTCAAAGGCTGAGAGGAAGCCTGCTATCTCAGAGAGGTTGAGTAGCACCTAGCTACCTTCTCCCCCCCAAAAGTCCATCATCTGTTCTATCCAAACAGAAAAAGTTGGACACTCAAAAGCCCTCCCTACTACTTCCTGTGCATCTCTTTATCTCTTCCAGATGCTCCCTGATTACTTTGTGTCAATTAGTTGCTAACTCAGCCTCATGACCCAAGGTTAATTTTATTTAATTAATGCAAATGCAAACTTGGAGTTCACCGTGGCATTGAATATCCCCCAACACCGCATGGTTGACAACAAGATTCCTTTTAAATCAAAAGCCTTAGCTAAGAATGATGGCCCATAACATAATCCTGGCCTTTGGAAGGTGGAGACACAAGAATAAAGTATTCAGGGTCATCTTTTCTACATGGTGAGTTGAAAGCCAGCGTTAGCTACAGGAGAATAACCCTGTCTGACAAAGCAAATTAACACACATATAGTCACTCAGACAACAGACAAAGTCACAGACACAGACACAGACACATAGACACAGAGATGACACAGACACAGAGACAGATACAGACAGAGAAACACACACACACACACACACACACACACACACACACACACACACACACACTACTGCCATTACCACCATCATGATTTTTGTGATCCCATTAAAAATATTTTTGTCATCCTGTATCAAAGCCCATGTCATAGCAATTGTGACAGTTACCTCTCTCTGTGACTTAGTGATTTAAAATAGGACTCATTCCTTTTATCTTCAAGCCTACAGTTTGTGCAGCACATAGAGGGCTTGACTAGCTTCTGCTGTGTTTAACATCTGCTGGGTCATTCCAATGCTTTCTCTCACCATTACTGTCAGGGTGGGATTTTAGGACTGAATTGCTGACACATTTGAAAGCAAAGCAAGCCAATGGCTGGTGGTCAGTGTTTCGTATGACTGCATGGCAGCTGTCTTTCTTTGGCTCTCTTTGGAACTCATGTGTCATTTAGATCAACTTCCTTATGCAGCAGAATAGAATAATCAGAGATGTTAGTAGTGTGTCTGAAGAACCAGTGAGTGTGTTATACCTACTGTTAGCAATGATTAACTGGGTAGTGGTGGTGAGAGCAAGGTCAGGGGACAGAAGATGCCCAAGCTGACCTTTCTTCTTGTGCTATAGACTAAACTAGGCAAAGTTTGAGTCCGTTGTGTGTAGTGACAGCTGGAAGTTTTGATGAAGTGAGAACATGATGACAAGAATATGAAAAAACTAGAGGCTTGGGTTGGACCCCAACCTTGAATAGAAAAGTTGTGTGTTTATGGAACAATATGCTTGCTTTAGGTATGCTTCATCACACTTTACATAAGTTAAAATAAATTTTTTTTCTAGACAGAGTTTCTCTGTGTAGTCCTGTCTGTCCTGGAACTACTTGCTCTGTAGATCATGCTGGCCTTGAACTCAGAGATTAACCTGCTTCTGTCTCTGGAGTGCTGGCATAGTGTATGTCACTATGTCTGGCCTTATTTAAATTAAAAACACTTATTATTTATTTATTTATTTATTTATTTATTTATTTATTTATTTATTTATGTGTGTATGTGTTATGATGTACATGTATGGAAATCAGAGGATAACTTGAGAAGTCAATGCTGGGGAACAATCCTTCTGTACGTTGTGTAAATATATGTCACTATGATTGATTTAATAAACAAGCTGACTGGCCAATAGTTGAACAGGATAAAGTTAGGTGGGAAAGCCAAACTGAGAAGGATGGGATGAGGAAAGGCACAGCAGAGGAGTCACCTGCCAGACAAAGAATGTGCCAGACACACAAACGGGATAGAGGTAAAAACCATGAGCCTCGGGGCAGCACGTAGATTTATAGAAATGGGTTAAGTTGTAAGAGCTAGTTAGTAACAAACCTGAGCTATTGGCCAAGCATTTATAATTAATTTAACCCTCAGTGTGTTTATTTGAGAGTGGCTGAGGGACAGGAAAACTGCATACAAGTCAGTTTTCTCCTTCCACAGTGTGGGTTATGGGAATTAAACTCAGGTTTTCAGATTTGGTAGTGAGTGTCTTTACCTAATGAATCATATTATTGGCTCTGTCCATGTTAATTTTTGATACAGGAACTCTCCCTGAACTTTGAGCTTGCCCATGCAGCTAGACTGGATGCCCAGCAAAGCCTAGAAATCCACCTCTCTCTACTTCATCAGAGATGTGAGTCAGGTGCATGTTGCTGTACCCGATTTTTATGTGTGTACTGGGGATCCAAACTTATACTTGAGCAGTGTAATGGCTGATCTTGACTGTCATCTTTACTACATCTGGAATCAGCTAAAATTGAAAAAGCTTGGCATGCTTGTCATGAATTTTCTTGTTTGGATGATTTGAGGTGAGAAGATGCACCCTAAATCTAAACCAGACCTTTGCTGGTAGCCCACTAAAAGGATATGGAAGAAGGAAGCTTTTGCTTTTTGCTTGCTTGTCCTAACTCTTGCTGGTGAGTTTGTATATCCTATTCCTGAGACATTCCTTTGCTGGTATTATCACATACTTCTTTGAGATTCCACGTAGACTGGAGACTGTCAGCTCTCTAGGCTTTCCCTGGGACTCCAGCACCAGACTGGGACTGCTGAGACATCCAGTCTCATGCACTCAACAACCATCAAGTCATTGGTTTTTCCTCTGGAGACTTGGGAGACATCTATAAGCTACTCTAGTAAATTCCCTTTTAACACACACACACACAGAGACACAAAGACACACACACACACACACACACACACACACACACACACGCACACACACTCTATCAGTTATTTTTCTTTAGAGAACCCTGACTAGTATATGCAACAAGTACTTTACCAAGACAGTTAACTCCTCCACCCATATGAATGGATGTTTTGTTGTGAATGAATGTCAGATTGTACACACCACCCTTTCTACATCTATCAAGATGATTATATTGTGTTTATCATCATTTTACCATAAGCTTATCTTTAATACCACCTTTTTATGCCCTGAATTCAAGCCCACAGTTATCCTATAGCAGTCCCTGGAGCAAGAACCCCCAGTGAGGAGCCCAAGGTTGACCCATAGACCACCTTGGGCCTGGATGCCAAAGAGCCCTTGCACAAGCAATTTCTGTCCAAGCAGATTGTGTCAATCTACTAGGCCTAAACAATGATCACTCCTACTGCATCCTCACCCCAAGGCTTCCCCACCTCCCAGCCCTGTCTCCACTCATGAGCCCTTTCTCAGAGTAACTTCTCTGGTGCTACACAGGACGCCTGATTCCCAGGCCTTTGGATGCAGAGGCTGGGTAATTCTATCACTCACAGACAACCATAGCAGGAGACATCATCGAATTCTGAGTGCTTGTGGGCAGCATCCCTCCCCACCTTATTCTCCATACAGAGAAGACAAGCAATGCCCAAAAGGAATATGGTGTTTATTTGTCCTTCTATCAGAGAAAGACAGTGAGCTCAGTGGAGCCCTGAGAGAAAGGGGTACTGTTTGGGAAGAGAAGTACCTCAAATGAATAAAAAGTTTGGAGTGGTTTAACTAACTTTTCCTCAAATGTCAATGGTGTTCTCAGGTAACTCTTTCAGAGAACACACAGACTCCTAAAGTCAACAGAAAGTTTTTATTCACTGGTTAGCAGACTACACAGGGAAGCGTGTAGCCCAAAACTTTAGTGTTCTTGGCTTTTTTTCTGCACAAAAACCATACCCTGGTTGACACACTTGAGTTATCCAAAACTGTAGCAATAAGCAGAGCTACAAAAGCAAAAAGGCAAGGTTCACACATTTAGGGACTTTCCCAAAATTATGAACGATATTGACTTAGGTCTTTGCTCCCATTTTGGCGGGTGTAGGGGTCTATGTGATGGACTCTTAAGTTAGGATGGTGCCTTGGCACATCTAACATGGCATCAGTTGTGCTAAGTTCTGAGATCCTGTTACAATCATCCCCAGACCCCATGTTCAACACATGATCAGTACACACTTCCTGTGGTGCCCTATTACCGGCTCCATCTCTCCTGCCCCAGTGTCATCCCTCCATTCTCTGAGATCACTGCTATTTGCACTTTCCCTCAGTGGAATGGAGCCCTTCCTCTTAGGTGTTGCTTTATTCTGAACACAGGGTTATCTTAGTACAAGGCTGTTGCATTGTTTACATGGCTCCTTTGGCAGTTCTTTCAAAACTTTCATCAGACTGTACTTGTTAAGGCAATATTTTCTTTGTAAATTTACACAGTTCCATAATCTCCAACAAAAGAGAATAGGAGTACATCTGGGTCTTAGACAAGTGTTCAAATAACATGTATACTTCCTGTAACACTAGAGTTAGCACTTTACTGTCTCTAATGATGGTTCATGTTCATTCAGTGACATATTGTTGTTTGTGATTCATCCTGCATAGTACAGTTGTTCATCAATGTGCCTTAGATTCCATGAAAAATGCCCATTCTGACATCAGCAGTGGTTGCTATAATGGAAAGAAGAACATCCTGTCACCTTGAAGACTTAGCTCATATCCAGAGTCTCATACTAATTAGATAAACTGATTCCCATGTTAGCTTTGTAGCCAAGAGAATGTTCATTTCATTCATTCTGATAATTGATTGACAGCTATAGTTTAGGTTTTTTTATATAATCATTCTATCACCTGGAGAAATTAGCTTATTTCTCCTACTGTTTCATCTCTCTGAACATCAATGTTCATAACGAATATTTACAACAAACTCTACCTCAAGTGGGTGCCGTGAGGAGTGAAAGGAAAAGACCAAAAAGAGAATGTGTGCAAATGCATGGAAAGTAGTACACTAACTTCCTTCCTTTGGAGAAATCTCTCCTGTGCTTCCTAGTCTTGGCGGGAGGCAGAGACCCAGATAATGGGAAACTAAAGGGATGATGCTTCCTCATACCCTATGGCAATCCATAATACTGGCAGATGGCCTGAATTTGCCCAATTGGATGCTGTAGCCATGAGTTCTGACTGTTGAGTTGGAAAACAAATGTTATGCTTTGAATATAGAATGTCTACGGCAGGCTTGTGTGTTGAATGCTTGGTTTCGAGCTGGTGCCACAGAGGCTAGAGGCATTGGATTCCCTTGAACTGGAGTTACAGGCAGCAGTGAGTCACCTGACAAGAGTGCTGGGAACCAATCTTGAGTCCTCTGGAAGGGCAGTACATGCTCTTAAACACCGAGTCAATTCCCCATGGGGCACACTGAAAATAACTGCATATTCCTGTCATCTCTCTATGGTAGGCGAGGAGTTAAGCCAAATCACCTTCACAGTGAGGTCTTCCTGGCAGCCTTTCTGGATTAGAGGGTTCCCTCTGTGCTTCACTAGCTCCACGTGTCACACTTTCCTAGAACTTGTCACTTTTGTACTGGAAATGCCCCAAGCTTTAGCACTTGGCTCATCTGTCTACTTTATCACAACTCAACAGTCCTTATTGATCTAGTTCCTGGACTAAGTGATGGGGAGCATGTGAAAGATGAAAGTGTTCTTCAACTGGTCTGCACACTCCCAGTCAATATGCCTGGCACATTGGAACTGGGTTACACACAGGGGACTGTTGTTTTATCTTTGGCACAGTGTCTGTGACTTAATCTACTGCTATTTCAGGTAGCAATTGTGACTCTGCAGTTACTGACCTGCTTGGGCAATGGCTCAGTTATTCAGGCTGCAGCCTGGTGGGAATTTTTTTCCCCACAGGCATAGGCACTGTTGCTGCCATTAAATGCAGCTTTAAGTAGCAATGGGATAACCTCCTCTCCTTGCTGGAGTCTCCCCCAAAATCATGTCCTTATGCTCCCCAAAGAAAAATGCAGTGCCACTCAAAATCCCTTGCTGCTACTCCTGGTGCCTCTCTATCTCTTCCAGATGCCTTCTGATGCTCTATTATTACTTTCGGTCAATTAGTTGTTAACTCAGCCTCTTGACCCAAGGTTCATTTTTTTAAATTAATTTTTTCTTTCCTTTTACAAACCAACCCCTATTCTCCTTCCCTACCCTTCTCCCACTCCCCTCTACCTACCCCCATCTCACCACCAATCCCTCCTCATAGAGGGTAAGGCCTTCCTTGGGTAGACAACACTGGCTGGCATACCAAGGTTAATTTTATTTAATTAACACAGATGCTAATTTGGGGTTCACAGTGTGATCAAATATCCCCCAACAGGGGACTGCCTGCAGATAAAACTCATTCAAGTTTCCTATTGCTATCTCTAAGTGGGAGGGAGGCATGTGAGAATAACAAGGAACCAAGAAAATCTATATATTTCTTATGTTTATTTTTGCATGTGTGTTTGTTCCTGTGTGTGCATGTGTGCGCGTGCGTGAGTGTGTGTGTGTGTGTGTGTGTGTGTGTGTGTGTGTGTGTGTGTGACACAAGCCATTATGCCATGGAGGTTAGAGGACAATTTTGCAACTCGGTTTTCTCTTTCTACCATGTGAATCCTGGGAATCAAACTCAAATCATTAGGCTTACTGGCAAACGCCCCTACCAGATGAGCTATTTTCCTTCCTCTATATCTTTAGGATGATGGATGAGGACAAGAGGTAAGAGAATGTCAGGAAAGAACAGCTAGCAAAAGCCAGATTATTAAGCAAGAGAAGGAAATGGAAAAAAATGGGGAAAGGATAATGAGACCATAAGCAATTTCTCATTTAGGACCTAAGAAATCTAGTTCAAACAAGATAAATATTCTTCCCTGCTCCATTATTCTTTTTGATATGTATGACTGTTTTGCTTGCAGGTATACAT